TACCCATACCATTTATTTCTTTCCTGTTTACATCACCTTAGTATCAAATAAGCTTCAAAGAATTATGTGTTAGATTTGACTTAGCCATAGAAGTAAAAATGTATCTTATACAGTGGCTATAAAAAGTTACAGAAAAGGTGCCCCTAGAACTTCTTTGTATCAGTTCTATTTCAACCTTGTGGAAAAATATTTAGCCATATTGCATTAAACCATTTTACTTTATTTTTTATGTTTCCACTATACAAAAGCATTTTCCTGATCCTTATCTCACAGTAATGTTACAAAATTACATACACATAAATAACATCTATGTGTTAATTTACTACCAAATTTTGTCATGCTACCATATCAATATTGTTCACAGACTTGAAAAAAGTGGTTTGAGACTGCACATTAGAACATGTCAATTCTTTTTAAAATTAAAAAGTGAATTTTGAACAGCTCCAGAGCATTCAGAAAGCAGTGCTTTACCTGCTGGGCTGACATGTTTGAAAGAGGCAGCAGCAGGAAGGTCTAAAGCTTCTCTGAGTTCCTTCACCAGCTGCCAGGCATTCAAAGCATCACACAAGTTTATAAATCCAGGGGCTCCATTTAGAACTACATATGGAAACATACACAACATGTTACCAAGCAGGATCAATCAAGTCAGATATACAGTGCTGAAAACATAACCTATGTCAAGGCTGCACGAGTATGTTTTCAGAGAAGTATAATTAAGAGGCAAAGACATATACACAAACATAAAAGAACCTGATGAAAACAGAAACCAAAACACTAGAGCCTTAGCCTGCCTCACCGGCCCCCTGCCCAAAAAGAACATACAATACGCACTCACATATGCCATATGCTATATGCTACTGAAGAAACCAAATCTAGCCAATCTAGAAATAAACCAACAGTGATTTCAGGAATAGGAGAACAAGACCAGTGATCGTCAGGGATCCACTTTAGTACAGAACTAAGAACAGTCATGGTAATTCTAGAGGTAGTACAAAATCTAATCCGTAAACTTTGTCAATACAAAAACATTACAAACTAATGCAAGAGCTGTGGATGGGGGAAAAATGCATTGGATTTTTCCTCTTTTATACCAGCCTCAGTAGGCTCTGCCTAAAATGCAGTTAAAAAGATGACAATTTCAGAGTTTCTCATTGCCTATTTTCTTGACAATAGCAAGATAAATATTTATATATATTTATATAAATTATAAATTCAGCACATACAAAAAAATGGGAGCCATTAGTTAAAAGCCAATGTATAACTGCATTTCCTTTGTATTATCTTGGATAATACATACTTCTAAAAATAAAACTGTGACAAATATTTACTGAGTGCCTACAACAATGTTGGGCACTGTTGTAGGTAATGGGGATAATATTATCAGTGAATAAGCTAGCCCCCCGCCCCCAATGTCTCATCCCCCAATCACTGCCTTCATAGAGATTATGGGAGAGCCAAAGAAGAAACAAAATAGGCAATGAGTAGAAAACGATGAGAAAATATTACATACTTACACATATGAGTTAAAAACATGTCCACACAAAAACCTGGACTTGAAAGTTTTTAGCAACTTTTTATAACTGTTAAAAATTGTCTTTCCATTTTTGATGTCCTTCAAGGGGTGAATGGATAAACTATGATACATCCTTATACCATGGGATATTGTTAAACAGTAAGAAATGAGCTCTCAAGCCACCAAAAGACACAGAGGAACTTAAACGCATACCGCTAAATGAAACAAGCTAGCGTTAAGGCTACATACTGTATGATTCCAACCTTATGACATTATGGAAACAGCAAAACTATGGACATGGTAAAAATATGAATGGCAGCAGGAGTCAGGGAGGTAGAATGGACGAAATTTTTAGTTGGTGAAACTATTCTGCATGATATTGTCAAGGCGGATATGACATTATACATGTCAAAACCCACAGAATACACAACACAAAGAGTGAGCCCTAATGTAAAGTGGACATTAGTTAATAATAATGAATCAATACTAGTTCCTCAATTTTAACAAATATACCATACTAATACAAGATGTAAAAGGGGGAAACTGGGGAGAGGAGATGCAGAGGGAGGGAATGTCTGGGAACTAACTCTCTGTACTTTCTGAGAAATTTTTCTGTGAATCTATTAACTACTTTAAAAGATAAAATCTACCCAAAAAAAAAAAAAAAAGTTCCTAAAAAAGAGTTCCCTTGACCGGCACGAACAAAATAGCTTTTGAAAATGAAAAATACGGGAACTGAAAGTACATGGAGGTATCTCTTGCCTCAGAATCTAAATGGGAAACATTATAAGGAGGAAATACCTGAGAATAAAACAGGAGAATTTCTTCTAAGAAATCTAAACGTAAAAATTCATACAAAATGTCAAATTTCCAGGTATTCATTCAATAAATACTTAGGAAACATGCCAAGCAATATTCTAAGTACTGAGGATGCAGCGATAAACAAAAAGCTATGAAAAAAGCTGAGGTTTCTGTTCTCGGGAGAAGATGATTAAATGGGAGGAGACAATTAAAACATAAATACAGTAAAACCTTGGATTATAAGTAACTTGTTCTAAGTATCCCACAAGATGAGCAAACTTGCAAAATTAGCAAATTTCTAATACATTTTAATTTGATAAATGAGCAATGTCTTGCAATGAGTAGTATGTGACTCCAAATGTCACAGGATCACAACCAAGATAATGGTTCTTCTCTCTCTCTCTCTCTCACTGCAGGACTGTGGGGTGATTGTCTCCCATTCTCGGATGCTCCATCTCAGCTTGCGGTGTTTAGCAGAAATCAGGGATTTTTCAGAACATCGGAAGGTGCCCACAACTGGCACCAGTGTATTTTTTGTCACGTCAAAGCACCTCTGGACAGTCCTTTGCTTTTCCACACAACAGTCAGCTTAGGAATGCTTTGCTTCATTCCTTCATTCAGACCCTTTCCTCTGCTGCCTTATTGCCAGTTACATTCAATACAGCGTATGACAAGAGTTTATTAATACTGTACTGTAGTCAACATCGGTGTGAGCATATGCAATGGCCCCTACGCAGAAAAAGGTTGAAAAGAAAGGCGGTAAGAAGATGATTACAGTGGAAGAAGAAAATCATCGAAAAGTACCAATGAGGTTATGTGAGTGGCCAAAATTGCAAGACTTTATAAGTCTAAGTCTGTGTCTCGTCTGCAGAGGAGAAGAAAAAGGCAGAGGAATCCCTCACTTGCAATGAGATTAGGGAGATATGTAAAATGTGGGAAACAGTGCAAAATTTTGTAGAAAAGCACCACCCAAATAAAGCCGCAGCAGTGTGAGCGATGAATCTGCTTAAGGACAATGCAATGTCAACTTTCCATGAAATCCTCAAAAGGAGGCAAAACCAAGTGTCATTACATAGGTGCCTTGTTCAAGTTGCATAAAAAGAAGATGCCACTGAGCCAATAGACAGCAGTGATTCCCTTAGTGATAGTCAAAGTCATCCTACACAATAACCCTCCTCTCTCGTCTCCTTCACATGAGCAATGAAGGTTTTCAAAGTAAGTACAGGTTAATTTATTTTTCTTCGTATTTTGTATTTTCTTTATTATTTTGTATCATATTACATTATTGTAATCATTTTTATGAGTATTTTCCAGTTGGGGAAGAAATCGTCTCAGTTTCTATTATTTCTCATGGGGAAATTCACTTTGATATACAAGTGCTTTGGATTACAAACATGTTTCCAGAATGAATTATGCTCGCAAACCAAGGTTTTACTGTATATGCAACCAAGTAGTGTTGTGAGAAAAGTGTGATGGACAGCTACTTCAGTCTGGGTGATCAGAGAAAACTTTGAGGAGGTGACTTTAAGGTGATTGTCTGAATGGCAAAAAAGACCTCGAAGACCAGAGCAAAGGCCGCAGACACTGTGCCTGTGGACCAAATGGAAACAAGGCGCTGAGGAGCATGGGGTAGGGGAGGGTTGCCACGGAAGAGCAGTCAGATAACAGGGTTTGTTACCTGCACAGGCATTCAAGTGGGAAGGAAAGCCAATGCATGGTCTCAAATTGGGTGTAACATCACCTGATTTACATGGTTAAGATTATTCTGCCATGAGTAGAAAAGACAAAGCAGAGAGAATTAGATTGTTGCAGTCTGGAGACTTTTGGGGTGACTGAGGGGGCTGGCACAGCGTTAGAAGAGATTCCCAATGCATCTGAAGTAGGGTAAAAATAGGACTGGATCCAGTGAATGGGAAGGGGAAAGAAAGGAGTATTTGAAATTCTCCTCACATCTCCCACCCTGCTCCCTGCTCCTCTCTCTCTGCTGGTAACAAGGGAAAGGAGAAGCAGACAGGAGTACCCGCATCTTCCTGCCACCCCACGTACCAACAAGCGTGCTCTCGCCCTGCCTTCCCGGTGTATGAAGAGAGCTGTCCTTGTGGTCACCCGAGGCCAGCACTCCTACCCAAGGCCTTCACACACACACCTCTCTCCCCTGCCCTCTGCACGCATGCAACCCGCCCCGCCCCGTCCCTGACCAGACAGTAGCACGTGTTCTAATGCCCACCTCAAGAGTAAAACAGGACAAAAAAGTGAAAAGCCTCTTTTAATTCTACAAACCCATGGAAGTCCTAACTGATTTTCCTGTTCAAAGAACTATCTTTATTATTGTTATCTCCTAACCTCACATTCCTATCTCGGCTAACTTCAACTGGGCTTCCAGAACCATCATTCCAAGGAAATTGCTTCATGAAATTTTTCCGGGATCAAACAGTCACTTTCCTGTTCTTAGCAGCACTCCAAACCAGCTGGAGCCCTGCCGGTCTTCTAGCCTTGTGTTCCTCAGCTGGTCCCTCCACATCTCGACCTCTTCTAGGAAATCCATCCATCCTGTCCCACATCTTCTAAATCATCTATATGCCAAGGACATTTCAAACTCCATCTTCAACCTGACCTCTCTCCAGAACCCATGACTGTCTCAACAGATTTTGTTCATGAGAACACCTTGCACCTCAGACTTCCAGTGGCTTTGAAAGGCATGATGTAATTTCATTTACCTTTTCAATGTGAACCACATCAGATATAATACAGAGAAAGACACACACACCCACACACAGCAAACTATGCCACCTAACACACAGCCTTTACCTGTGATGGGAAGCTTGGGCTTCAGCGTATATAACTGGGCAGGAGTTTGGTGAGGATTCATTCCATACCTCAAGGGCATCTGAGATATTCCTTTACTATACTGTTTCCTGAAGTAATCTGAAATCGCTTCATCATATTGTGCTGTATGAGTGAAAGCCTACAAAAAGGGTAAGTTTTGTGAAATACCAGCAGCATTTACCAAAGTTGGGGCGAGAGGGTTTCAGGTAGCACAGAGCAAACCACACTCCTTCCCACACACGTCTGTGCAAGAAAGACACCCACTATCACTGAAGAACACAACAAATCATTCTCTTTCCAAGTGTCTTTCAACTTTTTGACATTATACCTCTGAAATGCTTGGTTCTCTTCACTTATAGGAAAAGAATTTCAGCTCCAAGCAGAGGCCTGATGAGTGACATGGTCTTTAAAAACTGAACACCATTTGGTTTGGCAAACACTTTGCTTGATAAAAGTGCATCCCCACCTTCAAGGCTAACTGGCGTCTAGTCTCCAAGGAGGTGTCTTTACTGTCGGAGTTCTGCATCTCTGTGCAAACGGCCACATAGTCCTCAGGTTCACATACTACTGTTACTCGAGCGTGGTTTTTGGCTGCTGCTCTCAGGAGGGTTACTCCACCTTGGAAGAACAAGACAATTTGTATTTCCATGACTTTAACCTCCTTTAAATAAAGTCACTGTATACGTATTTCTACCTTAATTTTTGCCTTAAAAAAATAAGGAAAATGTACCCCAGAGGTATTTCTATATAAAGAAAGAGCTTAGAAAATATAGATGAATTATGGTCATCCCAGAACACAATCTGGGAGCAGTAACTATTTTCTGCTCTCTCAATTTTTTGATTCCAGTGAACATCAAAACAAAATATCTTTTTTTTAAAATTTTTTTTTAAATTTTTTTTCAGCGTTTTATTCTTTTACAGGACAGAGAGAGACAGAGCATGAGCGGGAGGGCAGAGAGAGGAGGAGACACAGAATGAGCAGGCTCCAGGCTCTGAGCCATCAGCCAGAGCCCCACAGGGCTCGAACTCACAGGACCTTGAGATAAGTGACCTGGCTGATGTCGGGCGCTTAACTATTTCACTTCACCCAGAAACAAAACAAAGTATCTTTTAAAATGTAAACAGCCAAGAGTGGGTGGTATGGTCGGTTGGGCGTCAAACCAGCCAGGTCCGATCTGTGATCCTGAGTTCAGCCCCGCGTCAGGCTCTGGGCTGATGGCCGGGCCTGGGCCTATTTCAATGTCTCCCTCTCTCTCTGCCCTCCCAGCTCATGCTCTGTCTCTGTCCCAAAAATATTCATACATTTAGAGAGAAAAAAAAAAATTAAAAAAAAAAATAAATAAATAAAATGTAAACAGCCAGTGAGCACCTGGGTGGCTCAGTCAGTTGAGCATCCGATTCTTGATTTTGGCTCAGATCAGGCAGTCCCAGGAGACACGTCGAGCTTCCCGTTGGGCTCCACAAGCATGGAGCATGTTTAAGATTCTCTTTCCGCCCCCCGACCCCCGGACCCGCCTCTCCCTCTCTAAAAAATAATAAATAAAAAAAGCAAAAAGTAAAAATAAATAAATGTAAATAGTCCAAAAATAAATAAATAAATAAGATATAATAATACTCCCCTGTCAGTCTTCAAATATGTTTCTTCTAACTTACCAATATCAATCTGCTCAACAGCCTGTTCAACAGTTACATCTGGAGAAGCCACTGTCTTCACAAAGGGATACAGATTACAGACGACAACCCTAAGCCAAAAAAAAGGATTTAGCTGCCATTAGAAACACAAACTTTATGGGGTTTACATGTAAGTCAGTCAGTAGCTTTAACAAGACCAAAGAGTCTAAAGATATAAAATATAAGCCTGGCATTTTAGAATTCTAAAAAGTATGTTGAGACATCAGGAGCTCCCACTGTTGCAGAACATAGGTAAATATAAGTGGCTTTGGTCAGCAGGTACTCTCAAAACGTATTTCCCCTAAATCATTTTGCAATGTTGCTGTCCAGGTACACTTAGCTCCTATGATATGATCCAGTCATTAAAAAAATTTGGTTAAATTTTAACAGAAATGCAAAATACAAGGCTGTAGATAACATCCTCATTTTGGAATACAATCACTATTACCTTCGACATTCAATTTTAGACTCTATTTCCAACGGGTTAGGTATAATGATGAAAAACGATAGACCACTCTAAGGGTGAAGTATTTGTTTTGTCTTCAGAGAGATTATATACAACGACAGCAACAGTAAGGCCAAAAGAATAATTTAAGATACAAAACTAATCTAAAATTAACCAGTGGAGTAGAGTTCTGTGCCTGGGCCTGCAGCATGAGGGGCTCTGTGGGCAGGTTCACACCCAGGGAAATAAGCACAACTGGTAAAAACTGGTAAAAACTGAAAAAAACAAAAAATTCCTCAACAAAAACCTAGCAAACTGAATCCAACAAAATACAGAAAGAAGCACACATGGCAGCAAGTATGGTTTACCCCAGGAACGTAAGGTTGGTTTGCTATCTAAAAACCAGTTAATGTAACAGCCCATGTCAATAAGACAAAGGACAAAAACCCACCTACCTCAACAGATGCACAAAAAGTATTCTGAACATCCACTCATGATAAAAACACTCAACAAATAGAAAAGAACTTGTTTAACATGATAAACGGTAGTTAAGAAAAACCCTAAACCCCATAGCTAACATCATATTTAAAGGCAAAAGTCTGAATCCTTTCTCCTAAGATCAAGAACAACACAAGGATGTCCACTCTCACCACCACTATTCAAAATCGTATTAGAGGTTCTAGCCAGGTCAATTAACAAAGAAAATTAAATAAAAAGCATCAAAATTGGAAAGGAAGAGGTAAAGGTATCTCTATTAGCAGATGACACTATCTTGTATATAGAAAATCAAGGTATTTCACACACATACACACAAAAACTATTATCTCTGAATTCAGCAAGGCTGTAGGACATACAATTAACTGAACTACACACACATCAGCAATGAATAACTCGAAAGTGAAACTAAGAAAACAATTTTACTAAGAGTACAATCAAAAACAAAAACAAAAACTATTTAAGAATAAATTTAACAAAGGTATAAGACGTGTGTGCTAAAGAGTACAAAACATTGTTGAAAAAATTAAAGAATCTAAACAAATGAAAAGCCACCCCAGTTTATGCCTCAATATTCAGATGGCAACATCTCCCAAATTGATATACAGATGCAATACAATCCTTATGAAACTCCAACTCTGATTTTTGCAGAAATGGGCAAGCTGACCCCAAAGTTCGTGTGGAAATGCAAGAAACCCTGAATGTCCAAAATGATCTTGAAAAAGACCAACAAAGTTGGAGGACTCACACTTCTCAATTTCAAAACTTGCCACAAAGATAAAACTAATGATGTGGGGCTGGCTTAATGACAGAGATACAGGCCAAGTGTCCAAGACCATTCAATGGGGTCTGAAAGAAGTCTTTTCAACAAACGATGCTGGGACAATTGGATAGCCACATACAGAAGAATGAAGTTGGACCTCTAACTCACACCCATATGTAAAAAATAACTTAAAAAAAATCAAAGACCTAAGCATAAGAGCTAAAACTGAAAACTCTTACATCTTTATTATCTTGGATTATGCCACCGCTTTTTAAATATAACACCAAAAGCACAGACAAGAAAAGAAAAAGTAAAGTGGACATCAAAATTTAAAGCTTTTGTGATAGTCAAAGGACACCATTACAGAAAGGAAAAAACAATCCACCTAATAGGATAAAATGAACTCTTACAGCTTAATAATAAAGTTATTAAAAACAATTAAAAAATGGGCAAAGGATTGCAACAGGCTATACAAAATGGCTAATGAGCAAATGAAAAGTTGTTCAACATCACTAAGAAAGGCCAGTAATAATCACAATGAGATGCCTCATTATACCCACCAGAACCACTAGAATCAAAAGGCTAGCTAACAGATGTTGGTGGGGATGTGCAGAACATCCTATACTACTACAGGGAATGTAAAATGATCAGCACCTTGAAAAACAGTATGGCAGCTTCTAGAAAGGTTAAACACAGTTACCAGATGACCAAGGAATTCCACTCCTGGGTATATAACCAAAAGAAGTAAAAACACACGTCCATACAAAAACTTGTACGTGAATGCTCATGACTGCCTCATTCCTAATATACAAAATGTGAAAAGAATCCAAATGCCCATCAACTGATAAAACAATAAATAAAATAGGATATATCTATACAATAGGTTATTTTTTAGTAATAAAAAAAATGAGGTATTAAGACATACTAGAACATGGATGAACCTTGAAAACATGCTAAGAAATCCAAGGACCCCACATTATCTGGTTCTATTGGTATGATATACCTGTACAGATAAATTCAGACAGAGAAAACAGATTTATGGTTACACAGGGTTAGAAATTTGGGGGGAAATGAAGAATGAATGCTAATGGGTATGGGTATTTGGGGGTGAGGGGGATGATGAATATGTTCTAATTTTAACTGTGGTGATGGCTGTACAACTCTGAATCTACTAAATAACACTAAATTGTATATATATATATTTTTTTAATTTTTTTAACATTTTATTTTTGAGAGAGACAGAGACAGTGTGAGCAGGGGAGGGACAGAGAGAGAGGGAGACAAAGAATCTGAAGCAGGCTCCAGGCTCTGAGCTGTCAGCACATAGCCCGATATGGGGCTCGAACTCAAATTGTGAGATCAGACGCCCAACCGACAGAGCCACCCAGGCGCCCCTAAGTTGTGTTTTAAATTGGGAAATTATATGGTATAGAAATTATATCTGAGTAAAGTTGTTATATACATTGAAAAGAAACAGTGCATATTTTTATGCAAATAAGTACACTGTTAATATGTATCAAAATGTAGGTCATAATTTATTTAAAAAAAGTTCTTTTTGTTGTTTTCTTTTTGTTTTAGTTTAAACGTGCATTTTGGTAATATAAACTTGGCAGAACTAAAAATGCTCACGTATGTACAATGTCACATAGAAGGTATTCAATAAACGTTTACAGTGAGTGAACAGAAAACTAAACCTATTGTTAACCTTAGTCTTAAAAGGGGGGCACCATGTTTGTCATGCTTACAGTCTTTGATTCTCAACGTATTAAAATTTCAACTCCAGAATTTTTACCTGATAAGATCGAAATCAAGTCTAGCCATGTCAGCATTATCTTCTGGGATATTACGAGCCAAGATTCCTAATTTAACAAAGTTAAAGTATTAAGTTAAAAAAAACACATTATAATAAGGTACTTCTTTCCAATATAGTCCTATCAATCAAGTTAAACCCTCTAATACTGCCTAATAAACAAAATAGTGAAAGATTAGTGGGCATATTTAAAAAGCTTTGTTATAAGTTCCTCATTTTCCCTTTTCTTACGATTTCTCATTTTTAAGTCATCTCTATACCCAACACGGGGCTTGAACTCACAACCCTGAGATCAAGAGCTGCATGCTATACCAAGTGAGTCAGCCAGGCACACCGATTATTCCCCCTTTTCTTAAGCAACAAAGTGTAAAAGGAATTGTCACATAATCATTGCCAGTTCCATTAATCTATGTGCTCCCAAAAGTAAGTGGCTTGTCTGGTGATCCTCCTTAGCCTAAGGATTTTATTCTGCCAAATTTTACTATAACTGTAATTAGCAATATACCTATCTCTTACCGTTTTTGGTTAATACGTAACTCTTGGTCTCAGATGAATAAACAAAACTAAAGCACTTTGAAAAAGAATTATTTTGATAGTCAGTTACACTGTGATACTTTATCCTAAGTGTGGAGTGTAATAAGTCTTTTCACACAAGAAACTGAAACATTTTCATTAACTACAGAAGGAAATAACACTTTTAGTTATCAGGACTAAAAGCAAGCAGAGGAAAATGATGTGAATTCATCACATAATAAAGCATTCTAGATTCTAAACAGGGTCTAACGTAGTATGAACTTTAGCAGCAAATGTGACAAAGCCAATACAGACTCACAGGTAATTTTTGGGGGGCTTATGACCTGCCTTTTTCCTCATTTATTCTATAAAGTAGTCAACCAAAATATTCCTGAAGACCACTGATTGTTTTGAATTGAAGGTACCAACCACTTACCAGCATGGACTGCAGGATGCAAGGTTTTCACACGCCCCCCTAACATTTCAGGAAATCCTGTCAGCTCGGAGACATCTCTGAAAATAGATGAACAGAATATTGCTGTTTCCGCTGACCTGTCATTTTTCCATTTTATGCTATTCCAAAGCATCTTTCAACATTATGTACACAGTTCTCATTTGGGGGGGATTTTTCAGGGCCTTAATTTTCAGAATTCAGAAACTGAATTGTAAGCCATGCGTTCAATTGAAGACTAATTTAGCAGTATATACAAAAAAGCACTAACAATCCCCTAAATATCTCAGAATCAGACTAAAGTAAAAACAAGAATTCAGTTTTAAGAATAAACAAGCATAAAGATGACATATCAAATGAGTGGGAAAATAAAACATTGTGTTTTAGTAAAGTGATATTCATAATTGGAATAATCCGATTTTACTCCACATAAAAATAAATTCCCAATGAATCAAAGGTCTGATTATTTAAAAAAAAAAAGTTTATTTATTTCTTCTGAGAGAGCGTGCACATGCAAGCGAGGTGGGCAGAGAGAGAGGGAAAGAGAGAATCCCAAACAGGTTCAGAGCCTGACGCGGGGGTCGATCCCATGAACTGTGAGATCGTGACCTGAACCGAAATCAAGAATCAGACACTGAACTGACTGAGCCACCCAGGTACTCCCAAAGGTTTGAGCATTTAAAACAATCACAGAACTACTAAAATTAAATACGTAAGGCGTGCATTCAAAGCATTAAACAAAGAATTAATAGATCTATGTAAAATGTTCAAAATTTCACACAGAAAAAAAAGCTGGAAAAAACAATCTCAAACTTTGACAAAGGGTGAAATGCAAAACAATGTTTAAATATCGATTCATTATCACCAAACTGACATGAACTCCCCTATTCCCCAGCCTGATTTACAAGCAAATTTTAATGACATGAAGAATGCTGACAATATGTTAGGTGAACAAAATCAAGAAGCAAAACTATCTTCTGTACGAGCTATGAAATTAAACAGATGTTTATAAAAACACTGGAAGCATATCAACTGTTAAACAGGATTATAAACTATTTATTACCTTCATTATAATTTTCTACATTTTTCAAATTTTCTACAACCAACATACACTGCCTTTATAATAAAAAAACAATAAATATTTTAAAGCAGCAAATTCCTGGGCACCTGCATGGTTCAGTTGGTTGAGCATCAGACTTCAGCTTAGGTCATGATCTTGTGGGTTTGTGAGTTCGAGCCCCACATCATTCTCACTGCTGCAGGTGCACAGTCTGCTTCAGATCCTGTCTCCCTCTCTCTGCCCCTCCCCGCCCCTTTCAAAAATAAACATTAAAAAAAAACTAAAGCAGCAAATTCCAATAGGATACAGAATTTCCTGGGTACAGTCTCCCATGAGGGGCCATCTGCAGATGACTGGTGTTTGACTAATGACTCACACAGTTCCAACATACACTAAAAACTGGTGACATGTTGTCCAATTCAAAATTCCCTTTCCTGGCATTCGGGAAATAAAATCCAGTTTCTCCAACTGAGGATGATTGCTAAGAACAGAGAAGGCAGATCTATTCTTAGAATGAAAAACCATGTGGGGTCATTAAAAAGCTTGTTGCTCCTTTGTATTCCAGAATTTGCATGCAGCAGCTGCAGTCTTCAAAGATTCTCGGTATGCCCACTGCTGTAGAGTCACCAATTAAAATCTCATCAGTTTAGATGCATAGGGGCACTTGTACCCCAATGTTCATAGCAGCACTCTCAACAATAGCCAAATTATGGAAAGAGCCTAAATGTCCATCAACTGATGAATGGATAAAGAAATTGTGGTTTATATACACTATGGAATACTAAATTGGCCAATGAGAAAAAATGAAATATATGTGCTTTTATGTAACGTGGATGGAACTGGAGAGTGTGTTCAAGTGAAATAAAGCCATACAGAAAGACAGATACCATATGGTTTCACTCTTATGTGGATCTGAGAAACTTAACAGGAACCATGGGGGAGGAAGGAAAAAAAAGAGAGTTAGAGTGGGAAGGCAAAGCATGAGAGACTGTTGAGAGCAAGGCAAACTGAGGGGTTGATGGGGTGGGAGGGGAGGGAGAGGGGTGGGTGATGGAGTGAGGAGGGGGGCACCTTTTGGGATGAGCACTGGGTGTTGTATGGAAACCAATTTGACAATAAATTTCATATATAAATAAAAAAAAGATCTCTAATAAAATCTTTGAAAAAGAAAAAAAAAATAAAAAAAAATAAAATCTCATCAGTTTACCTCAACCTCCAGGTTAACTTCCTGGGATAAAATCTTGGCTCTGCCTTTTACTAGCTGTGTTAACTGTTACGAACTCGGGCAAGTTACCTAACTTCTTTGTGCCTCAGTTTCCTTATTTATTAAATGGGGATAATACTACCTACACTGAAAAGTTGTTAGGATTACATGACAGTGTGTGTGTGTGTGTGTGTGTGTGTGTGTGTGTGTGTATAATATGAAGTGTGAACAGTCTCACGCTCTAATGGGAGAGAAATACATTTACATTCCCAATTTGTAAGAAATACATAGTTATAATGGAGGTAAGTGAGGAGTAGAGGCAGAGATCAAACAAGACTCCACAGCTGCCAAGTATTTAAACTGAAGAATGGATATGCAACATGAAGACTCGTTACCTTTTTCTACTTTTGATTATGTCTGAAATGGTCCCATGATACAAAGTTTGGTGGAGAAAAACAGGCTATAGAAGAGGAGCTTGCTTAATTTGAAAGGTCCAACTACAACAGCATCCATCATGCTCCAAAAGAAAGAACAGCCGAGATACTGGATTCTCACCCTGCTGCTCTTCAGAAAAGGCTGGCCTGTCTTTCACGATTCTTACAGGGTTCTTATGAGAACATCAGAGAGATGATGCAAAAAGACTTTGGAAAATAGAAAGCATTTATTTAATAAAGAAAATAAAGCATTCTCGCCATCTGAACTTGACAAATTTAGGAAAGCTGGTTACAGAAGGCAGGATTACACAATGAAAAAGGTAGTAATCCAGGGGCGCCTGAGTGGCTCAGTCAGTTGAGCATCTGACTCTTGGTTTGGGCCTGGGTCATGATCTCACGGTTTCACAAGTTGGAGCCCCACGTTGGGCTCTGTGCTGGCACTGTGGAGCCTGCTTGGAACTCTCCCTTTCCCTCTCTCTCTGCCCCTTCCCCACTTGCAGTCTCTGTCTCTCTCAAAACAAATTAACTTACAGGAAAAAAAAGTCACTGCCATTTATTAGAGCTGTCCTACAGCCTTATTCATTTTCTACCCCTCAGTAGTTATCTCCTCACTCTCCCACCAGAATGCCAGCTCCTTGGGGTCAGGAATGGCAGCTGATTTATATTTTACTCATTCCTTCTTCCCATCACTTAGCCAGGTAAGGAACAGCTTGTGAAGAAGGGAATGAATGAAAGATGCGCGCCTTCATATCATTAAGAGGTGGTAAGGGAACACAGGAAGACTTGAATCTTAACAATGTCAACAGTTTCACTACAGAGCCAGTCCAAACATATCACGTGAATCGCGTGAATCAGGTAATCTGGGTTTTTCTTTAATAACAAATGGCCCGCCTAAATTAATTTTCTATAGGAAGGGGCTAAGAAAGAGGGCTCTGAAATGGGGTCTCCTGGGGCTTCAACCCTTAACTCCTCACGGTGCTCTGTAAACTTGAGCACAAGTTACTAAATCTGAGCCTCACTTTCCTCTTCTGCAAAGTGTGTAAGTAGTGTGCCAACCTCCCAACACTGCTGGAAGGAGTAAATGACTTCTTTCAGTCTCTGTGCCAGGAGTGCATTCCTTTCTGGTCAACGGGATCACACTCCGTTCCTCGGATTGGACTTACCTTAAAAACTAAGCTGTGCCTTACCTGACTGCCAGACCTGCATCCCTGAGAGCTTTTGCAGTCCCTCCAGAAGCGATCAAATTCAAACCAACAGAAGTTAGGTTTCTGGCAAATTCCACGAGGCCCGTTTTGTCAGAGACACTAAATAAGGCTGAAACAGAAGACATCTCCCCTCACTACTCGCAGTACATTACACGAAGTCCTTCCAGGCCTTGGGGAGTGGGGGGATCGGGTGGGAGGACGGTCACGAAACTCAAGGCCATCACGGCGGCCCACACTGGCCGGGCCTAACCCGGAGCCTCCCCCGGGTCAGACACCTGCCAGGCGCGCTACCGCGAACGGACCACGAGCCTGCAGTCACGGCGCGCAGCCCGGCGCCGCCATTGTGAGCTGAGGACGCCGCGGGGAAGGGACGCGGAGGGCGTGGCTCCGCGAGGGCGCGCGAGGGGCTCACCGAGCTGGCCGGGTGCCATGGCTGCGGGCTGCGGGGTCCCGGACGAGCGAGGGCAGCTGCGGGGACGCCACGTGTGGAGGGGCGCCGAGTGCCCAGAACGCGCGCGATCAGGCAAGAGGGGCGCGCCGGGCGGTCACCTGACCTGCCACGTGACCCAGCCGCCCTTCCGGGCGCCCCCGCCCTGTCAATTTCAGGCTTGAAATTGGAGCCTCGCGGTTGAAGGGGAAGGCGCAGCCAGGTTGGCGCTGGCCTTCCTAGGCCCGGAACTTGAAGGGATCACCGTTGCAATCTCACGTTCTAAGCGTGACTTGTCCCTTTCCGCAAAAGTGAGGCGGCACAGGACCTCAGGAGCAAATGCCAACAGCCTGTCCCCAGACGCTGGAACGCGGCCAGCAGTGTCAAAAGCACTGGGACAGAAAACGAGCAACACAAGGAATAATACCTACAGCGGCGAAGGTAGAAAGCATCTTAGCAATCACCTACTCCGTTTTAATAGATTTAAAAAAATAAATAAAATGAAGACCTGATGGTTAAAGATTAAGCGATTGACACCACGGTTCACGTAATAGAGGCAAAACAGTGAAATGGACACTTGTTAAGTTTTTGATTCTACATTTTGAAATAGTCTGAGATCTGCTTAAAGGTGGTGACTGGCTTGCATCAGTAAATAATACTTGACTTAGCCTGGATGAAAGGAATGATAACGGTTAAGGGGGAAGGGAGGACATCTTTCTTAATTCATTAAAAATAGGAAAAGCAACACTGCACACTCGTTTCATTTGGAAAATAACACCTTTGCAACAACATAAATTCATATTGCTGTTTACAGAGATTTTTTTAAGTGTTTCTACTTAGGATTACATTATAAAATAGTACTGCTTATCTTTTATTCTTAGTCTAGGGCTCACAGATGCAGAAAAGAGAGTATTTTCTTATTACCTATATGTTATTTATTTGTGTTTTTTTCTGGTACCCTCTGTAATTCTTCCAAGCTTTTTTACTCATCCAAATGAGTATCTATTGGCCAGAATCAAGAGCTCTGAATATGTGAACTTCTTGCTCTGAATATTTCTCACATTTCTGAAAGAAATATTAAGATTATCACAGTGTCTTCAGATTGTGTTTGCCAACTTTGAATTTAGAGACAAGGTTCAGGGGCGCCTGGGTGGCTCAGCCGGTTGGGCATCAGACTTCAGCTCAGGTCACAGTCTCACAGTTTGGGAGTTTGAGCCCTCCATCGGGCTGTGTGCTGGCAGCCTGGAGCCTGCTTCTCATTCTGTGTGTGTGTGTCTCTCTCTGCCCCTCCCCTGTTCACGCTCTGTCTCTCTCTCTCTTTCTCTCTCAAAAATACATAAACATTAAAAAAAATTAAAAAAAGAGACAAGGTTCATAGCTAATAATAAAGGAAATCTCACTGCTCAGTCACCATTAGGTATTCATAGGAAATAGAAAGCAGAGAGAGGAGAAAATAATGCTGAAATTAGTGATAAGAGAAAAGTAAATAGTATTTAGGCATTGGATATTTTTCCTACTTGTGAATTTCAAATATTTAATTTAATAAGTATTTATTGAGCCCTTTCTGCCTGAGTGGCAGATGAATATTACCTAATCACTATCCTTAAGGGGCTCATGATGGAATGAAGGTATAGATACATAGTTAGGTACAATGAGAATATATTAATATAAAGAGAAAACATGGGATTAAACTGATTTTTGTAGTGGTCTTTTGGAATGTTGTCCTAGGTACTAAAAAAGAATGGAGCGTGGGTTCCAGACCAAGACACAGCTTTTTCATTTAAAGATGTTTACTAAAATGAATTCTGACGAATACTTCCGTGGTCTTCAAGTTCAGACTTGATAATCACCTCATATGTAAATGGCAAGATGAGTAAATGAATTTTTGGCTAGCTTTGTGATCCTGGCCACATGACTCCAACTTTAGGACCATAGTTACCTGTTATGTAATATGGATATAATATTTGTTCTGCAGTCTACTTCAGATCGTAAGAAGCAAATTAATCTGTTGAAAGTATAAACTGTAGGGTTCCCGGGAGGCTCAGTCGGTTGAGTTTATTTTGGGTCAGGTCATGATCTCATGGTTCATGAGTTTGGGCCCTGTGTTGGGCTATGCACTGGCAGTACAGAGTCTGCTTGGGATTCTCTCTCTCTCTCTCTCTCTCTCTGCCCCTCCTCTGCTTACGTGCATGCTCTCTCTTTCAAAATAAATAAATAAAAAGTAAGCACAAACTGCAAAATGACTGATGTAGGTAAGAAAGAACTTATAATTTCTTTTTTTGTTCCATTCACCTGATGCAGGTGAGTAAATGTGTATCTCTTTGGGCTTCAGAATACAGCCTCCTCAAAGATGCTAGTCACAAGCAAGCCAGTGTATTAGAAATGGGAGATGTTGAATTCCTCTATCACTAGCATTACTGTTTAAGACAGAAAAGACATGCATGCACTATAATAGTTACATTTTCATTTCTTCTCTTACTTGACACCCGTCCAGAAGGAAGCTTGAAGACCCAGGGATCATCTTTATATACGGTAGTTCCCCCTTACCTGTGGTTGCGCTTTCCGCAGTTATCCGAGGCCAACTGCTGCAGGGAAGCAGATGAGCCTCCTTAGGACGAATCAGCAGAAGGTCAATAGTACGCTAGCTCTACTTCACAGTTGCTACGTCATCATCATCGCCTCACGTAGGCATTTTATCATCCTCACATCATAAGTGTGAGTACAGAATAGTCAAATATCTTGAAAGAGCAAAATTTATATAACTATTACTACAGTATATTGTCATAGTTGTTCTATTTTATTATTAGTTGTTGTTAATCTCTCGTGACTAATTTATAAATTAAACTCTATCATTCTTACGTAAAGGAAAAAACATACTGTGTATAGGGTTCAGTACCCTCCGTGGTTTCAGGCATCCACCAGGGGTTTTGGAACAGTAGGGGGGACTACTGTATCTAAAAATATCTAATATATTTATAAGTGATTTCGGTTCCTCAAGTGTGCTTTAATCTGTTTTGCCTATATGCTATTTGTTTCTTGTGTAAACGTAACACTTTCTCTAAAAAGCCTCTATCGCGTTTTTAAACCTGGAATTTCCTCTGGCCTCTAAGGATTAGTAAAGCTGCTCCATTTTGAGCTAACTTATTCCAAGCAAGAGTTTACCCACTCGTGTGGATGTAGTTTGCCCTGTGAAGTGATTCCCAGGAGTTTGGGTAATAGGATTAAATATTGTCTACAAAATCCCTCTCTGATCTAGAGGTTAAACTCTCTTATGACATATTAAGAAATCTGAACATTTTCCTTGAAGGGTGTGGGAACTGTTTGGAATTGTAAAAGATGGCAATGATACAAAGAATGAATTGAATATCTGGAAGCAGGGAAGCCAGATAAGAAGGTTTTGCATTAACAAACTCCCAACCAAAGACTTGAAAGCATGGAAAAGGAGAGATGTGTATGAGACAAAATCAGGTAAAACCAGCAGCACATGAAGGTTAATTGCATAAAGGAAATATAAAATGGAAGGAAATAAGGGAGACTTCATTGTTTCTAGCTTGATCATCTGAGTAGCAGTGAAGCAAATAATCAACATAAAAAAAAGAAAGTTTTGCCAGTGTCTGTTTGAGGTCAATGTGAGAGGTTGGGTAAATAAATTTGAGTTTCTAAATATTGATTTTAAAGTATAAATAGTGAGGGACATCAAAATGAAAATACACACTAAGTTTTTAGAAATACAAATGCAGGGCTGTCTCGGTAGCTCAGTCAGTTGAGTGTATGACTTTGGTTCAGGTTGTGGTCTCTTGGTTTGTGCCCCACATCAGGTTCACCGCTATCAGCCTGTTAGTGTAGAGCCCACTTCCTCTGTCCCCTTTGCTCTGCCCCTCCTCTGCTTGTGCTCTCCCCAAAATATTTTAAAAAATTTAGAAATACAAATGCAAATCAGGAATAGATGTGAAGCTAAAGATAAATAAATTTGGAAAGGTAGTGACACTGAAGTAGTAGTTTAAGCCTGAAAGAAGACACATTAGACCCAATGAATAGACGAGGTCAGAAAGCCAAAAAAAGGAAATTTGTTCAAGCAAGCATTTAATACCCTAGGAGTACATGTGGATTTTAATTGTTTGGTGTTCATATAATTAATCTAGTAGCCAATAGTATAATTAAAAAAAATTGATATGGCAAGTGTTCATCTGATGAATATTTACCAAGGATACTATTTACTTACTCTCGGATTCACTCAAAAAATATTGACTGAGGGGCTCCTGGGTGGCTCAGTAAGTTAAGCCTCTGACTCATGATTTCAGCTCAGATCATGACCTCACGAATTGTGAGGTTGAGCCGCATCTTGGCTCTGTGCTGACAGCATGGAGCCTGCTTGGCATTATCTCTCTCCTTTTCTCTCTGCCCCTCCACCCCCCAAATAAATACATCAATTAAAAAATTTAAAAAAAAATTTAATGTTTTACTTTTGAGAGCGAGAGAGAGAGAGAGAGAGAGCGAGAGCCAGAGAGAGCAGGGGAGGGGCAGCGAGAGAAAGAGGGAGACACAGAATCTGAAGCAGGCTCCAGGCCCCGAGATGTCAGCAGAGAGCCCGATGTGGGGCTCAAACTCAGGAACCCTGGGATCATGACCAGAGCCGAAGTCAGACACTTAACAGACTGAGCCATCTTTTTACTGTTTTTAATGTGACTACTAGAAAATACTGTAAAGATATGTGGTTCCCATTATATTTTTACTGGACAGCATTAATCTAGACAGAATCCAAGAATTCTCATATCATTTGCCAACTGAGATGAGGCACAGAATTCTTTGAAAAGCTTTATATTAGACTGATGGGGTTATTACTGAGGATGAGGAGATTAAAGATTACATGCAATGCTTGGCTAGGTAAAATGTAACACCAAGATCTCTGGTGGGCTGCAGTTAAACTTGGGAGGGGCCTGGATCTCTTGGAATGCTGGAGGAGGAGGAAGAGGACTGCTTTGTTACTAACCCTGGAGGCCCTCCCAGGTGTTTCTGCAGTCCTTGGGGAACTC